AATTCAATTAGAAATAACAATAATTATAGAATATGTCCCTCCTTTTTCTTTACAATACTTAGGTGAGGCTGAGCCTCACTTGCCTCCCTTGACGAACCGCCACTGCACGGCTGTCGATACTTTCAGTTTTGTTGAGACCACGTCTTTTATATTGCTATTGGCTATATTTGTTTTTATTTTACTAATAAAGTAATAAAGTAATAAATTATATCATATAATAGGTATAAGAAATAATTAAATACTTAATCAGAATCAATTAAATTATTAAATGGACTTAAATGGATAATTAATGGATTTTATTTTCAAGAAATTACCTATGATTGTTTGTAAGATTGTTCCTGTTATTATTATTATTGATTATTTAACTCTAAAAAATCGAACTCACCACAAGAAGAAATTAGATGTCGCATCAAGAATGAAAAAAAAAATTATTCGTGATTTCGGGTTAACCAGAATATTTATTCGGGTTTTGGTTAATACGGGTGTTTTGAAAACAGAATCATTCGGGTAATACGGGTTACGAGTGTTTGATTTTTTAAAGGTGTTTAGGAGGGGTGTTAGGGGTTCGGGTTAAACGGGTGCAAGGCCCTGCCTGTAAGTCAACTCCGTCATACCTCATTGTACAACCCACCGATAAACGAACTTACAATGCAATAATAGATCATTTACACGAAACAAGCGCTAGCTTTCATTCGTTTATCCCCCCCCCCTAAGCCTTCGCACATACTGAGTCGTCATCAACAATTTACATAGTTCCACCTTACACACCGATATTACTTACTGAACTGGGACATTCAGTCAAGAGTATTTACTATGCCAAAAACAGGAACAACTGCCCACTTCCAGTATTCTTCGTGGATATCCATCAGCAAGATAATAACAATGATATCCATGATATTTTATCTCTTCTCAACACAATAGTGAAAATCGAAAAACCAATAAAAAAGACGTGGCTCACCGAAATGCCATAATTGCCAAGGCTATGGACATACAAAGAATTACTGCAACCATGAAGTTCGATGTGTAAAATGTGATGAAAACCACCTGACAATTAAGTGCACCAAGCACCGAAATAGTCCAGCCAAATGTGCCCTATGTGCTAAAGAGCACACCGCAAACTTCAAAGGATGCCCAGCATTCGAGTCAATAGTTAAAAAAATCTGCTCAAAAGTTTCAACCAGTCAAAGATCCTGACCCTCACTTTCAACAGTCTCAACCCAGAACCAAAACCAAATCACACGCAGCAGAAGCCAACAACAACCAAAATAAAATCACAGAACAAATATCAAACACTTTTTCAAAACTCATATCCAATTTAAGCTCTTTAATTAATCCATTAATTTCCCTCATTACATCAGTCTTAAACACACTAATAGCTAAAGGCATTATCTCCCCATAATACTATCGCACACTGTCTCATAATACCTACATAATCTAATCTTTCTCAGACCTATCCTCATTAATTTTATCTTAAATTTTAATAGAAACTATTCTACGTCCAACCGACTATATATATTGTTAATCTAAAATGTATATATTATTATTACTATTACTTTCTTTTAACCGTATCATTATTATAATGTAATATATTGACACATTGTAAAGTTTAAATAAAAAAAAAAAAACGGGTAAGTCGTGGATGTCGCTCTGCTGTACAGTAGTTTACAGGTGGGTTACTGTTATGGATGGAATTAAATTTGAATCCAATGATATTATATCATTGTAAACGAAAAACGATTCTGAGTGAAGATGGTTTATCTGTCTAGGATATATTATAGATTATTAATAATTTTCAAATCTTAGATTTAAAAAGAAATTTTTTTATGAATTTCTAGTTTAAAATAACTTGCGAATTTTCGTGATTTTTACATATGTTGTCAAAATTCAAACTTTGAATACTTGTAAAAAAAAAATTGTGCCAATATATTTCTTTTATTTTTCACCTGCTATTGTAAACATATGTTAGGAGCCTTATATAAAACTTTAAATTCTTAGATATAAAAGGAAAATTTTTAATGAATTTCTARCATAAAATAATTTATGAATTTTCGTGATTTTTTACGTAATTTGTCTAAAATTCAAACTTTGAATGCTTGTAAAAAAAATATGTGACTACGCATTTCTTTTATTTTTCAACCGCTATTGTAAAAATATGATAGGAGCCATGTATAAAATTTTCAAATCTTAGATATAAAAGGAAAATTTTTTATGAATTTCTAGCATAAAATAATTTATATAAAATTTATATAAAATAATTGTTAGCTAACAACCCTTAATATATAATTGTTCTCCAACAACGCAAAACAAAAAAAGCGGGTAAGTCGTGGATGTCGCTCTGCTGTACAGTAGGTTAAAAGTGGGTTAAAGTTACATCAAAAACCAAAATCGATTTTGTCAAAAACTGAGTGTGCGTAAAATTTCCCGTTTTTCCCTTAATTTTTAGTTTGTTTTTCTTGATTATTTATAAAAGTATTAAGAATTTTTCACTTTTGACCCCTCTAAGTACCAACTAGATTCACTGTTTGATCGATCGAACGAGGAACCGTCAAAAATCGAAGCACTATTACTGCCCCAAAAGTGATGATAGACACAAAAAAATTTTTTTAAAAACGCACATCATGGTAAAATCAATACATTCATCGCTCCGCTCAGAATCTAAAATATTTTTGATTATATTTTAAACATTTTTAAAAGTTGTTTATAGACATTTGATATTTTCAATTTATTTAGTTTTTTTTTTTTTATAGATGTCGATAAAATTTTTTTCGTTTTGTAAACAGCTTCGAAGTTTATAATAAAAGACACCATATATTATATTGTTTCAATGGTAATTAAGAAATATTAAAATTACATTGCCACAATTTCTTTTTATAATCATTTAAGGTTCGAGTTTAAACAAAATACGTAAAAATCACGAGTTTGTATAATTTTATCAAATAAAAATTTCTACCAGGAAATAAATTTAAATTTTAATAAGAATTTGAATTTCAAATTTTTACAACATTGGAAATTCATTAAATTTGTCTTGTAGTGATATTCATATTTGTTGTTATTCAAAAATGAATAACTATAGAAACTTGAAATTTACACTGTATTTATTTAACACAGTTTTTTTTTTAAAGTTTAATAAAGTTAAAATTTGGATGAAATTACATATTGAACAACTTAGAATAACAATTTTAGTTATATTGTTGTCATTAAAAAATGTTATTTGTGGAGTGTCTTTCCAGAGTGTATTTGTGTGTATTTATAGTGCCAATTGTAATGGTTAATATCATACCGCGAAACCTCGGTATCTCGAACTCCGGTATCTCGAAATTTCTGTATGTCAAATTTTTTTTTCAGTCCCGATCATTCAGTATTGGACTTACGTATTAAGTTATTTCGGTATATCGAATTTCCATATTAAGTCAAATATTTCTGTAAGTCGAAGTCATATTATCCGGTACCCAACGCCTATTATGATTAACTAACTCGAATATATCACAGATTCGAAAATTATAGCGAGCAAGTTTTTTTTAACTTTGACGAACTCGGCTAAAATTGACGAGGAAGAAATTGCTGTTGTTAAATCTTTTATATGTGGTGCCCAAGCTGAAAACTATTAACTAAATGTACCTTCGAAGATACGTTTAACAACAGTCAGGAGTTTCTGGCAACATTTTTTTTGCACTTAATATTTTAGGTAGTTTTATTGAAAATACTTCTAATACTAAACAAAAACAAACAAAAATGACAGATTTTCTACTTTCATATAAAATACTGTATACTTACCCAAACGACGAATACTAATACATAACATATATGCAATGTATAAATACATTCTATATTATAAATACACATTTTTCCCAATAATTAAACATTTTTATTTCAAATTTTATTTATGTTTTAAATTCCCTCGCTAACTCGAAGTTTCGATATGTCGTTTTTTTTTTTTTGTTCCCTAACCACTTCGAGATATCGAGGTTTCACTGTATTCATAATTTATAATAAATTGTGTATACTATGAATGACTGAATGAATCGGGTACATAATGAATCTGGTTTGATTAATTTAGAATTTATTTTATAGGTACCAACAATTTATTTGAAATATTAACAATATAATTAATTTTTAATATAAAATATCCTAAACTGATAATCCGTCTCTGCTCAGAATCGTTTTTCGTGTTTAATGATACTATATCATTGAATTCAAATATACCTAATAGCATCCATTACAGTAACCCAATAAACTGTAACCGACTGTACAGCAGAGCGTCATTCACTTACCCTTTTTTAGATTCTGAGCGGAGCGATGAATGTATTGATTTTACCATGATGTGTGTTTT